TTGCCATCCGGGGCTTTTGGAAGGGCGTGAAACCTCGGAGTGGAAAGTCACCAAAGTTCATAACCTTGATGCCTGCAGCTCCCTCTCTCTCTCTCTCTCGCTCTACCAGGCGTGTCACGGCAACCTGGGTGGGACTACAGTCTCAAATTTTCCCAGGTTGGTTGGCCCTCTCTCTCTCTCTCTCTCTGTCTCTACCAGGCAAAAGGTGCAGGTGCAGGGTGGTCCAACCCCACACCACGCGCGCGAACGCGCTCCTGCGGTTCATGGAAAGAACAATCCCCTTTCCAGTTCGCGGAAAGGAGCTCAGCTGTACGAACTTGGAGCGGCTAACCAGGTTTGTTTCCCCCGATAATCAAGCAAGTAACGTACCAAAATATGCAAAGCAAGCAAACAAACTAAGCCCAGCGCCGGTTGGTCAAGCCTCTCCCCCAGGAATGAAAAGACAGTTTTGGTTAGAAAAGAAACGAGGATTAGGGGCGGTTTGGCCCAGGTCTCTCTCCCTCTCTCTCTCACTCAAGAACATGAAATGTTACCGAGAAGGTGGTGAAGTCTCTGGTAACAATTCAGGGTTTTGGGAAATGTTACCGGCAACCCGTGGTAACAGACGTAAGCCCCCCCCCCCCCCTGGTCACAATTTATAGTGCAGGGCCATGATCTGACGCATCCTTGCTTGCTTGCTTGCTTGGGGTGTGGGTTCCCTGGGGGAACCCGGGGCCGAGGGCCAACCCCCTGGGCGAGCGTCTGTGCCGGCCCCTTTCGGGGTGAGGGTATGTCGCATTCCCCCGGATGTGCCTTTGAACCCCGGCCCCCACCCCCCCGCGACACCCATCCTAAAACCATAACCAGCAGTAATGACCTTGAGGCAGCATCCGGGTCGTCTGCGGGCCCTCCAACAGTCGGTATCTTGCGTTGGAGGCAAGCAACATGAGGTAAGAGGCCCCAGCAACATACTTGCCGCACTGAAGTCAACAAAGCTACGTAGCTCCTCACTGTTGCGTCTCTTGGCCTGAGGAGCTCCACCCCCCCGGCATTCTGATGCATCCTCTCTCTCTCTCTCTCTCGCTCTCTCGCTGTCTCCATCTCTCCACTGGTCTGTCTTGCACACTCGCCGCTCCAGAGCCTGTTCTCAGCTCTTGCCGTTGCCATCCCGGCCTGGCCCAAGGGCGCCAGTCGCCGATCCAGAGTCCAGATGTTGATGGACCGTGCGGGCCTGCAGACACAAAGTCTGGCAGGGCCCTTGAGGTTCCTCTCTCACCCTGACGTGCAAAGCAGCTTTCTCAAAAAGCTGCGGCTTGCTAGAGACAACCAGTCCGAACCCATACGACGTTCAATGCGGGAGCCCCCGAAGCATCAGCAGCTGGTTCCACCATCCATGGCACAGCTTCACGGGCTTATAGTGACAGTCAGTCTACAATTTCGCACACCAGCGCCTGTCTGTGGCATTGGAGACATTTGCGCAATCTGGGGTGACGAAGCCTGCGCTGGTACAAACCAAGAGTGTATGCAGTTACACTGTTTGGACTGCCTGGATTCCAGAGGATAACAAATGCAGAAGCATAAGTGGTATTGGCAGGGCCAAACAAACGGAATGGGTGACAAGCATCAAACCAAGTATCCACCTCATACATCCCAACGAAAAAGCAACTGCTGGGGTACTTTGCAGGAGGACTGTGCGGACTCTTGCAACAACCGGGTGCAAGAGACCCACTGAAGTCCAATTCGAAAAATCGGATTGCGGCCAGTAGGAACCGAGTTTACCAGGGGCTGGGTGGCAAAAACATAGCTCCTTGAGCAGTGCACTCAGCTTATTTCCATCGTCCCAGCATTCAGCAGCCAACATGGGCGTTTCGACCATAAAAACTATGTTTTGTCGAGGCTTGATCTCTCGCTTGGGCGTGTGAGATGACAACCGCGCGTGAATGTTGACTTCTTACTTCGCCCTACGCACCGACCTTGACACAACCCGAAAAATGCGTAGCTGCTGCTGGCATCCACTTCCAACCCCCGTCCCAAGGCTTGGCAGGGAATGCTCTGCGAAATTTCTTCGCTACAATGGCCCTTCCACGACCACAAAGTGAAGTCTCGGCGTCGTGCTCTGCCGTGGTGGGCTGCGGCCTTCGGCGTTCAAGTGACGCCAGCGGCCCGGGAGATTTGTTCCTCTATTCCGGGCCAGTCGCTGTTGCTGTAGAACCGTGTGAAAACTCATATTCGCACACAGACAGTGCTCCACACATGGGACGCGTCTCTATGGTCACGAGCTGCATCCTTCTGGTGGCTCGTCCACATTTGCTGAACTCCATCCCGAGCCATCCCGTGATGGCCGCTAAGATCCTGAGCAATGCTGCACTTAAGAGCCGCCAAGCGAAGGATTCTGGTGGCATTGGCAGCAGGACCCCTTCGTTTGCAGCGACAAAAGAGGCGCCTCTCAGGCGCCTTCTGGGCGGAGTCGGCATGCGACACAGGCAAAGGTGCCGCTGCCTCTGTGGAAAGTCTAACCTCAGCCCCAAGATTTCCTGTCCTGCGTGGAAAGCACATGTTGCTACAGGCTCTTGGCTTCCATGATCGACTTTTGATCTGGAACCTCGTGAAGTCCATCGTCATCGTTCGCACAAGCTCTGGATGCTACATTCGCAACAACCTGAAACCCTGTCTGCATCTGAGGATGGCCTCTCACCAAAATTGTCCATGAAGCGGACCACGCTGGCAGCTTTGATTTTGACACTTTTCTCATCCGGCTCTCAAGATCAGTCCATAGGTCTGTAAAGCTTCGACCAAGTCAAGCAAAAACATGTTGCTGCGATTCTTACGCGATCCTGTCCCGCTCTTCTCACGTGAATACCGACTGCGTGGCTCCAAAAGTTTCCGGACAGCATATAAACGGATTGTAGACTGCCACCGCCTGTTGCAACCAAAGCCATCATGCGAGGCCGACCGAGCACACCTCAAGGAGCCTCGATGCTCTCGTGCGACAATCGCCCCACGGCACATTGAGCCGCGCTGCTTGAAACCCACAACTCGGCTGACACTTAAGCAGCGCCGTACGCGGCAAAGAGGATATGACACAGATCTGATACCCGAAACTCGGGGACCCTGCTTGGTTGCCGGTTCACTGACGCCCCGATTCTCTGCTCATGATCGAACCGAGAGCAAACCCCGACGGCTTCTTGAGTGCTTTCTTGACAATGACATCAGCGGCACTTGTTGGTTGCCCTTGACGCCTTCATCTGGGCATTCCAGAAGGGACTCGTTCCTGATGGCACAAAGCCAGAGGTGACTGGAGGCACAACCAGACCCGTGAATCTGGGGCCAAGCACGTACCATACCAGTATGATGCATTTTTCCCAGGCTCAAAGAGATCAGATATGTTGCCCCCTTGGTGCAAACAGCATTTGATGTTGAGCTCCATGATGCAACTGCCGGGGCCCGCGCCGAACTGCTCTGCGTTGAGCGTATCCTTGCCGCAAGATGCGAAGGTGCGAAGGCGCTCAGACGCTTCAGCCATGTCCGCACCTGGGGAAAGCAAGTCAAGTGCTCCACGAGTGGATCCTGGCAAGGCAAGGCCGACTCCGAAAGGATTCCTCGATCTGCAAGAGTCTGTGAGTCTGGACAGTTGCTCCTCACAAGGCTGCCGATATCCCCGTTCAAGGCTCATGATTATGCCACCGAGCACCTTCACCGGCTGCAGATTTTCTGAACATGCTACCACCCTATGCAGTCTCGACAGGCCTGGTTGTACTGCAGGAAGGTGCCTCGCTTTTCCTGTTTGTTTTGGAGAAGATGTTGGCAACATCGCGCAGCATGGATTGACAGTTTGCTAGACACACAGGACTCGTCGCAACATTCCTGGGGAAGTTGGCGACCGTAGATGTCAGTGTCACGGAGAAAGAACGGAATGAAGACGTTTTCCAGATAGTTCCACCTAAGCTCTCTACGATCTGAACCAGACAGCATCTACGCCATTTATGCCTTTCAAGAAGTATCCACGAACGAGGCCCTCGCACATCCGCGGATGTGGTCAAACCATCCAACCTGAAACTGCCATGCAAAGCAACTTAACCGGCACCAGGTGCCAAGTTCCATTCAAGCGACATTTCTGCGGTGGGATCTTCGTCTTCACCCTGTGTGTGTTGAGATAGATAGGACCAACGACAGCATCACGACATGGGTCTCGGGCCAAGAGTGGGTTCAGGACATTGCGCACGGGAAACTCTGTGATGTGCTTGGATGGCACATCCTCAAGGACCATGAAGTCAAGAAATTAAAATGAGCATGCTTTCACTCACTAGCGACTCATCCGAAGGCCTCATGCAGAATGGAAGACAAAGAGTAGAAGCCAAAGAAGGCGAGCGTGATGGGAAGCATCACACCTTGTGCTTTCAAGCTGATTGAATCTGACACGAGGAGTTTGCGAGATGCATCATCAAAGCTGCAGGCACAAGCTACTGCTCTCAGCAAGAGCCTGATCTGATATACAGTACACCTATACCTAGGCAGGCACATCCCCAGAAGCGGCGGTTCGTATCCTCAATGACCTCGTACAAAATACGGCGAGATATCGCACACATGCACGAAGACAGCAAACTCCCGCCTCCTTCAGCGCATGTCTCTCTACCATGCGTGTGGAGTTGGAAATTGCCTGAAGCGAAGCCAATGATAATCGCCCAGAACAGGTGCGCGTCACTGCTAAAGGAACCTTACAACATCGATATGCTGGGAGTCGCACGGCACTTCTGAGGACTTGATGAGCCTGCTTAACCTTGCCATTCCCACACACTGGGCAATGGCAGAGGCACTGAAGGCATCTGTAAGGCTCCTGCAGGCCTGGAGATGTCGCTCATATCTCCATGTGCCTGCTCCCCAACTTCCAACTTCTGACCAGGTGGGCTTCCTCGTTGTTTTCGTGCACTCCGACTGCATCAAGAAGGGGCCAGCGGGAGAGCGACAGGCATCCCACGTGCACTAAGCGAAAAGGTCTGTGCGAGCATGCTTGGGACAGGTATTCCCGACCCAGCTTCTTCTATGCATATCAGCAAAAGAATTGGGCGAGAGATTTGTGGGGCGGGAGTGGCTTGCACTGCTTGTGGGGGCGGCTGGTCTACTGGTGATCCGCCTCACAAAGGTTCCTTGAACTTAACGACCTAAAGCTCTTCCCCATGCCAACCATCCTGCAGGCACGCGTATGTCCGTGCCGCCTGCCATTCTGTCGGCTATAGGCACTGAGGTGCTGCACTGTAGGTATTATCGCGAGAGCAGGCAGCCGATCAGAGCACCGCAAGCCGCCGTGCCGGATTCTTATCAGGCAAGCTTGCCTCGAGGCTGTGTGCAGGCAAGCGCAATGTGAGCAAGTGTTCATTCCCTGATGTGTTCAACAGGAGAGGAACCAAAAGAGGCGACAACTTGCACGAGAGGCAATCTTTTTGTTTGGTGCTTCCACGCTGCCATGCTTGTGCAAGGTTTTCTCATGTTTCTTAATAAGCTGAACCTCCATCAGAATTGCCTGCAGCATCATGCAGCTATCGAAAGTCCAGTCACCAGGCTCTGGGAAGCGCAGAGCTTGGAATCTGCCAGTAGCTTCTGAAACGGCAGGACGCAAACAAGAGCATCACCATCATGCGCATCATCAGCACAATTCCTTCGAAGTTGCTGATATGTCCCAACTACAGAGTCCCAGGCCCACCAACACCATTCAGAATCATGACAGCGTCGTCGACCCGTGTACCCCTGCCTCCGTCATAGTGGCCAAGAGCCGAGTGCACGTCCGCTGCGAACAAGAATTTCCTCCCGAAGCTGCTCAGTGTATGCTTGTGTTCCTCCCAGTCCGGCGCCCGCGCGCTAGGGCATGGCGGCTAAGGTCAATCGCTAGCGGTTGCAGCTGTATCTCCGATTGATTGAGCCCGCAAATGGCAGCAGTTTGCACCCAAGCTTTCAGAAACACTTCTCCAATGCAGCAACGAAGCATTGCCATTACCATCGGAACACCTTTTACTCACAGTCGAGGTTCTCAGTATCGTCGCGCAAGCCTTGACTAGCTGATGCGACAGCTACTGTTGTGTACTGGTATGGCTGCAGCAAAGCGGCACCGGTTTGCTAGCCTGCGGCTTGGCACCTGCGAAGCGACCTCAGCACCGTGGCCACAATACTGGAATAGGCAGAAACAAAAGTATAGCCACAACATGATACCGTGATTCCGACTGAGAACCCAGCGATACTCGCTTGGAACGACCACTCCCGGTAGCAGCAAAGACACGAGCTCAACAGCAAAGGTTTGGCAGTTGTGGCTCAGCAACTTGTAGTCCTGCCGGAAGGACTTCAATGCTGTTGAAGTCTCTTAAATTCTCACAGAGATCTCCTTGCCGGGCCACTTGGGCTTGATCTTCTTAATCATCTGCCACGGCATCACAAGGTCGCCAGTGAGACTTCTTTAGGACGAGTACATAGGGTAACCCAGCCTGCTCCACACGGGCGTTGCTGAGCTTGGTTTTACCAAGTGGTACAGCTGCCTTGTGAACTCCTTGTCCGTACCCTGCGACTCGACAGGTACAGCAGCAGACAGCATGCTGCCAGGACCAAACTGCAAACAAATTGCACATTGGCACCGGGATGTGGCGACGGATGAACAAGGAGAGGACGACAAAAGACTATGTAGTTGCTGTGGTTCGTGCTTGCACGGGCTCGCAGCCAAGTTCCAGCTCACGTCAACAACCAATGCGAGACTATTGAACGGTTTGAAGAGAAAACAGAACTAATTGCAGCCTTATGTTTGCAAGATGGATCAACTCGTACACTGCCGCCGGCCCTTGTACATCCGACACGAACACAGAGGAGGAGTGCCGATCGAAGCTACTACAAGCAGAATCCAAGCCGGAAGGAAGGGAGTTTACATCCAGCACAAGGATTCCCAGCAAACTCTGTTCTGACGGTATTCATAGCTTCAACCGCAGATATGGTTCAGGGATTGATGCCGGGATTTGGCGGGTTGTGGAAACATTGGGGATCTGGCACAGCACGTCGTGTTGAGCAGCAGAGAACTGTAAGGGTCCCGTAGACGCGACCAGAAGTGAAACGTGCAAGCCAAAGACCGCCTCGTGGCCAGCACGATTCCACACCGTTTACACAGAAGTAGTGCTCCAGGCCATAGACCTTCACGTGCAACTTTCTCACCACAACAATCGAACGGTGCTTCAATGCCGGCCTCAACACCGGTGTGGTAGATGGGAAGACCGATAGCCTTCACCTGACTTGGTAAGTCTCCATCAGCAACGTTTTCTCTGTATGTGAGGGAGCTTGCCGCTCCGCCTGCGAATTCTGTAAGATCCTGGCTGCCTTGGCCAAATGGTAAACCTGCAACTTGACCTTTGCATGGCAGGGTGTACTTCAGTTCCCCAGAAAACTGAATTCTCAACCCAATCATGAGAAAGCCTGGCCTTGAGAAAAGGGAGAGACACAGCAGTCGATACTTGCCATTTCCAGAATCGTGCCTCGCCATCGAAAAGCATGCCGTCGTCGAGAGTGTCCACAAAGACTTCAGTCGAGGCGGATGGCCTGGCTGCCGACAAGTCGTGAAGCCGGCTTCGCAACAAGCCGAAGGAGTCGAAGGACGGTTGGTATGGACATCACTGACATCACTCTATTCGTCGAGAAGGGGGTCGGAAGGCTTCAAGATGCTTCATATGAACCCAGGCGAGGACCTCCAGATTTACATCGACGTCCATTACCCACAAGGACACCCAGTCCCTCGATGCCCTCGTCAAGGGGATCAGGAATACCGAATCCACCTACAACACCACCCCAACCTGCGAGAGCCATGCTAGCTATGGAGTAGTGATGGAGTTGTCCATCGATGCCAGGCAACTTGGTACATGAGGCAGATGCGCACTGTCCATGATATGAACATGGCGATGACGATGATGAGGAGGATGATGGTGAGGATGAGGAGGATGATGATGATGGTGATGATGATGGTGCTGACAATGGTGATGATGGTGATAGTGCTGGTGATGATGGTGATGATGGTGACAAACATGATGACGATGCTGAGGATGATGATGACAGAGACAATACCAGTAGCAATGACAGCGCTGATGATTATGGTGGCGATGATGATGATGATGATGATGCTGATGAAAATGGTTATGGTGAAGAAGAAGATGATGAGGAGGAGGAGGACGACGACGACGAGGAGGACTAGGATGAGGAGGAGGAGGAGGAGGAGGAGCAGCAGGACGATGATGATGATGATGATGATCATCATGGTGATGCTGCTGCTGCTGCTGCTGCTGCTGCTGCAGCACCAGCAGCAGCA